AGATATTTCTCGCGCTTTCGTAAGTCTTTGTTTTCCACGACAGCTGGATCTTGCTCCGGTAGCAAGATGGGACCTTGGAAGAGAAATGATGCCGGTGTCAACACTGGTAGTTGGATATCTTCTTCCAGGTAACTGAGGGGGCGATTGTTGAGATCCACTTCGACATCCAACACGACTTCGCATAATTCTGGCCATGCATGTAAGTAAACCATTTCCAATAGACTAGTAAAAGACCATATTCCGACAGTTCATCTCCACATTTACTTATCTCATTTATTTATCTCATTTTATTTCATTTGTTCATCTCCTCCACATTTATTTTTTCATTTATTTTGACCCATATTCCGACAGTTCAGCTCCTCCACCAGATCACAGTCAGAATATTCTTGAATCCATAACTGTTTCAACCAGTGATGTGAATTGTCTCATATCAAGCCTCCCCGCCGACAAAGCCTCAGGACCTGATGGAATATCTGTCAGGCTACTGAAAGAGTGTGCAGACGAAATTTCTCCATCATTATCTGCTCTCTTCAATATGTCACTATCACAAGGCAAAGTTCCTCAGGAATGGAAGGAAGCAAACGTTGTTCCAGTTTTTAAGAAGTCCATGATGTCTCTAACTATCGACCCATCTCCTTGCTTTCCATTGTATCCTAGCTTCTCGAGCGAGTCATCCATATCAACGTGTCCGAGTTTGTTAAACCTTCGTTGAGTGATTTTCAACATGGAATCCGAAAAAAACGATCTTGCTCCACTCAATTTCTCGGTGTTTTTCATGATATTGGCGAAGCTCTAGACAGCGGTAAAGAACCTGATATGATTTACTTGGATTTCTCGAAAGCCTTCGATTCTGTTTCCCATCCAAGACTTCCACTTAAACAACACGGTATTTCGGGCTTGTTATTGAATTGGTTTTCGGATTACTTGAGCAATACACGTCAACGAGTAGTGGTAAACGCAGTCGCATCTTCCTACCTTCATGCCACCTCGGGGGTTCCACAAGAATGTATAATTGGTCCACTCCTGTTCTTGATATATGCAAATGATCTTACCGAAGCAGCTAATCACAGCGTTGTTCCCATGTTTGCTGATGACAGTAAATGCTACAAAAAGATTGAGAAACCACAGGACAGAAATCTCCTACAAACTGATCTCGATTCCCTACACCAATGGTCACTAACCTGGGATCTCAGTTTTAATGCTTCGAAGTGTGCTGCAACGCGATTTTCTCGCAAGACAAGTTCCGAACAACCTCAAGAACACCACCTCAATCAACAACTTATACCGTTTAAAATAACTCAGAAAGACTTGGGAATCTTAGTGAGCGAAAGTTTAAAATGGTCATCGCATATAAATAACTTAATATCGAAAGCTAACAAGATGCTCGGGTTTGTTCGGCGAAATTGTTTCTACCTCGCGAACGTTAACTGCAGACGTCTTCTGTATTTAACTCTTGTTAGATCGCAGTTCCCCATCCTCTGATCTGCTACGTCTTGAGAGTGTTCAACGTCGCGTCACGAAAGTTATTCTGCAAGACTACGAGTCGTCTTACTCGGATCGCTTAAAGAAATTAAACTTGATTCCTATCTCATATTGGCTGGAAATAAAGGACATTGTGTTCTATTATAAATGCAAAGCGGGGCTGTATGATCTTGACATAGATAAGTACATCGAACGACCTTGTCATCGGTCGACCCGTTCCAGTACTAGTGACTTTCTGCGTCCAAATCTAAGCAGAACAACTCTCTTCAGGAACTCGTACTTCAATAGAATTGTGTATCTATGGAACAGCTTGCCTAGTGATATTAAATCTTCTTCCGTATACATCCTTAAAGCTAAACTATATGAATATTACTTTAATAAACTGATTACAGTATTTGATGCAGATAGGTGTAGAACTTGGAAAACACTATGCAGTAATTGTAGATCACTGCAAATAAACTGCTGCTCGTAATACCTAGGTGCACGTAGCATGATCGATGGGTTAATCTGTTATATGCTTAATATGCTCAGTTTTCGTTACAACTCTTGATACATTTTTTTCATATATATTAGTCACAAACTGAGTTTTAATATTCTCAATAGATTAACCATTCGAGCATTCTTCAATCGAGATTAATTTTTACTGTTGTAAATAGTTTTTATGTACGTCTGTATTTGTGTTGTCTTGGTGGGACTTAATTGGGAACTTCTGTTCCGTTGTCCTGACCTTCGATCTTATTAATCGTCAAGTTATTTAAAAAAAAGGAAGACTTAAACACTCCTATTAAGCGTTCAAACTGTTCGCCCCACCATGGAGATCTATCTGCTGAGGTTAAAGGACCATGCAATGGAATGTTCAGAAAGAAAGCTGATCAGCTTCTCGTCTCGCTGAACCCTTTTCAGCCAACGAGCTGCTGCAACAAAGGTTTTCCCGTTATCTGAATAAATTCGTTTTGGGACGACCACGACTTGCAATGAATCTTTTCAAGCTTGCGATAAACTCTGTTGCCTTGAGGCTAGGCAGCATTTCCAAGTACAAGGCTCGAGTTAGGCAGGAGGCATACAGAACAAGATAAGCTTTGACTCTATCTTTCCTTTGCGACAATAGCGAATAGGACCTGCAAATTCAACACCAACGGATTCAAACGCTCTTGAACCTTCCGTTCGCGAAGTGGGTAACACACCAGGCAGTGGTTTCGAAAGTGCTTGGGCTTGAAATCGTTTACATCCGTAACTCTGTCCAATGACTCGTTTTGCTAGGCTTCGTAGACGCGGAATCCAATATAACTTACGGATTTTCGCCAAGGTAAGCAGCATACCACCGTGTAAGGTGTCGATATGGGCTTGTGCTACTAATTTCTCTGCAAATGGTCCAATATCTGAGAGATAGGTTGGATATACGTCTTGAATACGACCGCGACATTCGAGAATTCCTGCTGTATTTTCTTGTAAATTTAGTTGAGCGCTGTCAACAACAAACTTTGGATGAGCCTTCGCTCGGGCTTGATCTTGTAGGATCCACCAGTTTCTCTGTTGTTGTAATTCTTCTGCCGTAAGAGGACCGTAAATCTTGGGCTTTCGCGAAGAATTGTGCACGAATCTGGAAATCAAAGCACACACACGCAAGGCAGTGGGAAAATCAGGATTTTGGGCTGTGGGTACATATCTCCAACCATTAACATCATGAGCTTGTATCTTTTGAACTCTGTTAGCAACGAATTGGCGGTACTCCCCATTGCCACAGATCCAGTGGAGAGCGACTGTACTGTCGAGCCAACAATACACTCCGGTTATAGGAAAGCCTTCGATGGCCTCGCGAACATTTTGGACGAGATTCACCGCCATATACCCAGCAACCAATTCCAGTCTTGGAATAGTTAACCCACGTTTGGCCAATCTCGATTTAGCCGTAACAAGACCTTGAGTAACTCCTGATTGCTGTCGAACGACGGCGTACACTGCAGCGCAAACACCACGACCACTGGCGTCGCCAAACGAGTGAAGCTCCACTGCTTCGATGTGCTGTCTGTGGGTGACCAAGGTACGGTTAAAGGTTACGCGCTCGGGTAAAGAATCCTCCCACTTCAACCATTCTTTCAACAGTGGTTCGCGTATAGGTGTATCCCAGCTTAGTTTTGAATTGCACGCGTTTCGATAGATGACCTTGCCTTCGAGGGTGACAGGGGAAACCAATCCAATTGGGTCGTAGACCTTCGCTAATTTTCCAAGAATTCCGCGTTTCGTGGGTTCTTCGCCGACTTCTTTGGAAACGTCACGCTCAAAGTATCTTTGTCGCAATCCCAAGGCAAGCCAAGAATGCTTGTTTTATTAGACTGAGAACTGTTCAACTGTTGTTCAACATATAATGGTTCCATATCAGCATAACTTCCGGTACTCTGCTCCATAGTCCCTTGTTCTGGAACGTTAGAGTACCATTTGTGAAGATGAAAACTGGCGTCGTCACAAATCTCAATTGCATTTCGTTAATAGCTGTAACCCCCGGATACCAGATCATCTACGTATAAACTGCGACGGATTTCTTGTACGCTTTAAGGGTGTCTTGGTTCCCAACCAATAAGATGCTGCTCGATAACACCTCCAAGTGAGAAAGGCGAAGGTGCTAGGCCAAACAATGCACGTGTAAATCGATAGGTTTCCACTTCGTTTGAATCGAGGCTCTTCAACCAGTGGAACCGAAGTGCAGCACGATCACCGTCTCTAATTCGGATTTGTAGAAAGGCTTTGCGTAAATCACCTGTCAAACACACTGGGTAAAATCTCCCACGAACCAACACATTCCACAATTTGTTTTGTAGAGGGGGCTGGGTTCAGATATCAGAATTAGATATCAGGAACCTCACAAGAGACGGGAACGAAATCATCAAGTCTCGTGACGAATCAATATCTACGGTTTTTAATAAGGGATTTCTCGTTAAAGAGAACGCTAGTCTTAAAGATGAAAATGCTTTACTTAAACAGCAGATTAACAACTACAAATGTATTACATCGGACTTGAGAACAAAGGTCAAAGATTTAGAAAATGAAGAAGACACCTTGGTCACCGTTATTAAAATTCTACATGATGATCAAAATCAACATACTTGTCATGCTAATAAATCTATAGCGTCTTGGAATGTTGTAAACAATCATAAAAGGTCTCAGATTGGCCGTGGTTCCTCAAAGAATTATTCTACAATTGGTCCCAGTGGTGACATCAGGGACAAAGATGGTGCAACTCGGATACGAAATCAATTAATATATTGTCTTGAGTGATGATATCGACAACAGTGAAGCTAGTCAGGACGACAGCGTCATGTTAAAGTCTACACAGGATCCCCAGAATAAAGAAATCCAGGACAGTAGCAAAGAACGACCCAAAGATCCAAAACATGCCTGTGTTGCTGAAATTCCTAACACGACAAAAACAAAAGAGAAATTAAGCCTGCAACAAAAGGGCTTTGGTAAGAATCAAATGAGCGAATCTGATGACAAAGCTGCTCAATCGAAAGCCAACAAGCAGAGGTCACAGCAGATTAACCAGGAACAAAAGAAGTATAAGAATAAGAAACAAAAGGTGAAGAATAACGAACAAAAGGCAAAGGAAAACGAGCAAACGAGAGAAGCGCATAAGGCAAGTGAGGAAATAACAGCAGAAAGACAACGCACTAAAGAAACGGTCGTTATACCTGGAGATTCGATTATAAAATATGTAAAAGGTTGGGAAGTATCCAACACTGACAGAAACGTAATAGTTAAGTCTTTCTCAGGTGCAACAGTTAATGATATGTCTGATTTCTTAAAGCCCACTGCACGAAAGCAACCCGATAAGCTCATTATCCATGCAGGCACAAACGACATACGCTATTCAAGTCCTAAAGAAATTGCAAAGAAAATTATCGAGTTAGCAGAGAATTTTAAACAGGATTGCAATGATACTGAAGTCATCATCTCTTCTTTAGTCACTAGATGCGATAGAAAGGAACTTACAACGAAGGTAAATGAAACTAACAATATATTAAAGTCAAGCTGCTTGAAGAAAAAGCTTGCATTTTTAGACAATAGTAATATTAGTCGCTCTCATTTAAATAGTAGAGGACTGCATTTAAACCGAGAAGGTAGCTCTTTGCTTCAGGCAAACGTTTCATATTTCTTAAGTTCGCATAATTGAAATGAGGACGGGTCGAGGAGGAGTGCTAATGATGCCTGTTTAAATATTCCGAAAACAAGGGGTTTTAAGATGGCTATGCTTAATGTAGTTAGCCTTCCGAAACACCTTGATGAAATCCGATTATTACTTCACGATAAATATTTAGATGTTTTAGCAGTTAATGAAACCCGTTTGGACTCCACTATTTCCGATGGGATTGTTAGCATTGAAGGTTATGACTTGCTACGTGCTGATCGGAATAGAAATGGAGGAGGGGTATGTATTTATATAAGACGCCATATAAATTATGAAAATCGCCCTGATCTAGTTCCAACAGGCCTTGAAGCTGTCTGTGTGGAAATTAAGCAGGCTAATAGTCAATCTTTTATAGTTTCAAGTATTTATAGACCACCATGTTCCGCTAGTGAAGTGTTTATAAAAATTGAGAGGCTAATCAAATCAATTGATGATGAAAATATAGAATTTTATATTTTGGGAGATTTAAATTGTAATATGCTAGAACCAACTTTGTCCAATCATTATTGGATGTAGTAATTGCGTCAATGCCTGAAAAAAAAAATTTTCAGGTGTATAGTCCATCTCGGAATTAGTGATCACAGCCTCATTTATAGTATTCGGAAAATAAGTACAAGAATAAAAACTGATTTACAAGGTTCTGCCGAGTATAGAAATTTTAAGAATTTCAATGTTTCAGGCTTTCTATATGACTTACAAAATATACCCTGGGAAGAAATAAGATTTAAAAGAAATGTAGATGAAATGTGGCGGTTATGGAAAACATTTTTTGTAGATGTGCTGGATAAACATGCCCCTGTGAGAGTAAAAAGATTAAGAAAAGGGGGCAATATTCCTTGGGTAAGCCGGGAAGTAAAGGAAAAATTATTTAAAAGAGATGCTCTTAAGCGTAAAGCAATAAAGACAAATAAAGAAGAAGACTGTAGACTATATAAGTCATCTAGAAATGTTGCCAACACTGCTTTGCGCAGTGCTAAAAGAGATTATTATGCAAACAAATTCACAAATAATAAACAGAATCCTAAATATGCTTGGAGAACAATAAACGATATATTAGGTCGAAACAGAAAACAGACCACGATTAATGAAATTAAACTCCCAGGTAAAACTGTTACATCGACCGACGAATTAGTCGACATTTTTAATGATCATTTTAGTAATATTGGCCCAAAGCTTGCTGAGTCTATTCTAAATGACAATGACGTTAGTTTTCGAGATTTTATTACTCAACAAAAATCTAAGACAAAGAACAGTTTCTCATTTCGACCAGTGAGTGTATCATTGGTTTACACTCTTCTAGTTAATTTGTCTACCACCAAAGCGACTGGAATGGATAAAATTTCAGCTAAAATTCGACAAGTAGCAGCTCCAGTTATTGCACCTTCTCTTACTGAGATTTTTAATATGTCAATTGACTCGGATCAATTTCCTTCTGATTGGAAAGCTGCAAGGGTTATTCCATTGTTTAAGAAAGGTCAGCGGTCCATGTTGGACAACTATAGACCGATATCAATCCTTCCTGTAGTAAGTAAACTTATGGAAAGAATTATGTATGATCAAATGTATGAGTATCTTAACCAGAATAATCTTTTCTCAAAACACCAATTTGGTTTCAGACCTTATCATTCCACAACCACTACATTATTGGATTGTACGAACGAATGGTATATACCAACATGGACCGTGGGCTGTATAACTTAGTTGTTTTTCTTGACCTAAAAAAAAGCATTCGATACAGTCGACCACGAAATACTGTTAAGTAAGTTTGAAATGTATGGTTTCCAAAGAAAAGCATTAAATCTTTTACGTTGCTATTTGACGCACCGAACTCAAAGTTGTCAATTGGCCAGTATACTCTCGGTGGAGAAAGAAATCATTTGTGGCATTCCTCAGGGAAGTATACTCGGCCCTCTCTTATTTATTATGTATATAAATGATTTGCCAAGCTGCCTAGAACGCACAACTCCAAGAATGGTTGCTGATGATACTAACTTAACGCAGTAGGCAGAACAATTAGTGAGGCGGAAGAGAGGGCGAGTGTAAACATGAGGAATGTTCAGAAATGGCTTTGTGCAAATAAACTAAGTCTAAATATAGCGAAAACCGAGTATGTTTTAATTAGAACACGACATAAAATAAGTAATATTGATACCCATCAAGGAGTTAAAATAAATAATCAATTGATTAAAAAAGTTAAAAATACCAAAGCTCTTGGAGTTGAATTAGACGAAAACTTGAGTTGGGAAATACACATTAACCATATTAGCAGTAAAATATCATCAGGTATTGGGGCTATTATATAGAAAAATAAGGGAGTATGTCGAACAATACATTTTGATAAAAGTTTATAATGCCTTAATCCAACCTTATTTTGATTATTGCTGTGAAGTATGGGATACACTTAATAAAGGCCTAAGTGAACGTCTACAGAAATTCCAAAACAGAGCGGCTAGGTTGATCATGAACTTAAAAAATAAACATGGTCAGTCTATTTTGGCACGAAAATTTCTAGGCTGGGTAACACTTGAAGAGCGTAGGGCACAAATGAAAGCCAGGCTCATGTACAAGACAGTTAATGGTTTAGCCCCCCAACGACCATGTGAAGCTTTCCAAAATCTGAATACCATTCATGACCATAATCTGAGAGGTTCTTCAACAAGGTTTTATATTCCAAGACCAAAAACGGAATCCTTAAAAAAAAGCTTCCAATATAGTGGGGCTAAACTATGGAATCAGATACCTGAAGAGATACGCAATTCGGTATCGTATAATTCGTTCTGTAAAAAGCTATCTTCCTCGACCTTAATCTCGACTTAAAGTAGTAGTTAATTTTTTGTCTAAATAGGTATATAATTGTATTTGTTATGTATGTAATATTAGAGCTAGTATATAAATAATAATTTGTAAGTACACATCCCTTTTGGAAATCAGCTTTTGCTGAAAAGGCCAATGTGTGAAAATAAAGTTGATCTATGTATCTATCTATCTATCTAATCGTAAACAATTCTCATCTTTGTGCTCTCGGCTTCATCACGGATAACGGCGCGGTGAGGCACGTATAGCATTCTCTTCCCACGACTTTTTCAAGCGCCTTTTCAACAACCCCTTCGGCGAGTTGTTTTTGAATGATTGTGTCATACATGTACGCTTCGAGATTTCCATCTCGTCTCAATTTATTGATTTGGCTTTTCATACCAGTGAGGCTGCCAGAGCGATTGGATGGTAGCGGTGGGTGGTTGCCTTTCCACGTTAGGTTTATCTCGCACCAGCCTTCGACGAGATGGCGGGTCAGCTGCTCACGAAATTCCTTGTAGACCTCCCCCTGATCTTCGGGGGGGGGTGAATCTTTCAAACCAAGCACGTCAAGAGTACACAAACGGTCATAGTCAGTGGTGGTGTTGACTGCGAGAAACCCGGTTTTAAGATCGACTCCGTCTGCAGGTGCCATTATAGCCCAGCCAAAACGTGTTAATTCAGCGACTGGTTCGCCTTGTCTACCAACTCGTGCCTGGGTTTGCTTGAGAATTTTGGCATATTCGTTTGCGCCAATTATCAAATTTACAGGTAATTTTCTATCATCGGTCATGTCATCGATAGTAACACCTCTCAAGTTCTGATATTCACTTAAAACCCTTCATAATTAGGATTATCTAAAGTCAATAGTTCGCGCTTGTTTATTTTAGTAACTCTGGCATTGAGAACAAATTTCCGTAATATTGCTTCTAAAGACAAATCGTATTCTTCAACTTTAGTGGTAGTTGTGCTCATTAAGGTAGCTATTCTGCGAGTACTAGTTTTGACAGGACGCGCTTTAATCTGTCGATTAAGGTAGAGGAAGCGTAAGAGTGACTGGCGCCACTATCAAGCAACGCGCGGAATGTCTGTCCGTTTATCTTAATTAACACTACAGGATGAATTACAGATCTTTTGTTTATACTGGCTGTGAAACTTGTACCGTTGTTAGTTTCATCAGGGTTTTTACTCTCACATATCGAAGTATGATGTCGCCCTTCGCAGGGTTGGCACGAGATTTTACTCTTACAAGAATTCGCATGAAGTTAACCACTTGCGCAATTAAAACATAAACGCTTTTTGGCAAGGATTTTCTTTCTCTCAAGTGGTGTCAACACCTTGTCACATGCTTTGGCTCTGTGATCTGTACTTTCGAAGTACACGCATTTTATTTCATGATCTCGTGACCCAAACGCTCGCCCGCCTGGGGACTGACTGTAGGGATCTTTTCCAAATTTACCTCGTTTAGGAACTTTAGTAACTAGATTGGTCTCCGCCCATTTTTTCAAGGATTCTTACAAATCCTTGAATGTCTAATCTCTCCAGTCAGTCTTAACATGAGTCACAAGTTCCGCTTTAATGATTTCAAGTTTGCGCAACACGTAATAGGTTGTGCCTTCAATGCTATCAAGTTTCCCCAAGGGTTTCCAAGTTCTCAACGTTAAACAATAGCTGTTCGTAAAATCGGTGTATTTTGGAAACGTCCCTTTCACTAATGGTCGGCAATTCTAAGAGACTAACTACATATGAACCAGCTACTTCGCAAGGGTGCCCATATTTATCTTCCAAATATTTGAAGGCCCGAGTGTATCCTTCGTCTGTAAACGGGAGGCAGTCTATCACTGTTCAAATACTTGGATCAACGAGCTCTTTAAGGTGGGAGAACTTACTTATCGGTGGTACACTTTGCCAGTCGACCATCGCTTCAAACTGGCCTTTGAAACGCACCCGGTCATGCGGTTTACCATTAAATCTAGTTATGCTAAGCTTAGGCAATCTCACGGTTTTCCCAGCAATTTTCTTCTCTTTCAGTGCGGCCTCTAACTTCTGCTCTAATAATTGTTTTTCGAATTGCATTGTCTGTTCCTGTGTATGCTTCAATTCAACTTCTTGTGCCCTTTGATATATGGTCTTCACGAAATCGGCAAGTTTCTGCGTACACTTGTCAGCCAGTGCAATTTGATTTTCTATCTCTGTAGACCATTGTTGTATTGATTCATCAGATTCGCTCTGCGCGAATGTGGCTTCTTCAATGGAACCTTTTAAAATACTAATTGTACTTAAAATTGTTGTAATGGACTCACGGTGTCTGTCTACGGCTACCTCTATCTTCATTGCCGAGTCTTCGTCGCAGCGTTTCAATCTGAAGTTCAACGCCCTGAGCTTCACATCCATCTCACTTTGCTGTTTCTTCATGTTCGAAACGCCGATCACAATCCCGTCGGAGGTGCCAGTAATGGGGGGAAAGGCAGGTTCGGTCCCGTTCAGTTTGACCCCACAAGATCACAAATTCACTCACAGTTTAGTCATCAACATAAAATTATATTTCACAAAAGATTTAGCTCTCGCTCACTTGGCTCACAATCTTACAAGATAGAAAACATGCACAGACACTTATCTTGTAACACAACAAAAAGGATTATATGAGTTCAATTAACTAATCGCGTAGTTCGAATAATAGGCTCTAGATGAACAGTACATGATAACACCTTGCTTAAGGCAATTTCCGACAACAATATAAAATACCGAAACATTAATAAGACAAATAATATGACAAATATCTTAATTGCGCAACAATATTTCCCAGTTTGTTTCGGGCATTAAGGGATATTAATACAAACTCCTAGGAAAACCTCTGATTGAAACTTTAATGAATCATCAGGGGCGTCGGAGCGGCTCTAAAAGTGGGCGGGCACATTTCGCTCTAACGCCCTAGCGCACACTTAGTGACATTCTAGGGGGATCTGGTGGCATGCCTCCCTGAAAAATTTTGAAACTAAAGAGTCTTTGAAATGTCAATTCCTGCACTTTAGAAGGAGATTTACAGAGTTCTAAAGGTAAAAAAATGTCATAAAATATCTCAAATGTTTTGTCTACACGCGTAACTAAAATAATATCAATAAAAAGTGTGTAAGCAAAGACATTTAGGCCCCCAATCTAAAAAGTGGGGGCGAGGGGCTTCCCTTTTGACGCTCCTGTGTATGCGATTTTCCGTCAACGACTTTTATTCAATTCCGTACTTGGCCATTTTTCTCTTATATTTCTGGCTGATTGTCGCACGCAATTTTAGCAGAAAAACACGACTTGCATTGACCCAGGAAATTAGACAACATGATTATTAGGCGGTATGTGTTATGGAAGGGAAAAAAATACCGTCATGCAGTCCAATATAAATTATAATGATATAATGTCCAAATATTTAACATACAATCACAATTATAAATTTGGATGCAACAAGTCACCATTTAAAAGTTCAAATTCTCTTGAGGGATTAGAGTTAGGACACTGTTCGCAATCATGAGTTATAAAACCATGCATGGACGTATTTTAAAATACATCTCTCAATAAATTCAATTCATGGTTTGTTCAAGTTAGGTGCACTATGCATTTCCCACCCTCTGTATTTGTGTACTAAGCAAACAAGAGCATAGAAAATAAGGAAGAGCACTATATATTAATTGTTTTATTTTATTATACCTATATCTCGCCAGGCAATCTTTCAAAAACGTCAATCCATGCATGTCAGCTGTCATAATTATTGTCCGCTTGTCAGTCATGAGAAAATGTAAATTGTAAGGTCCAAATATTCAACATACGAGCATATAAGTTTGGATTCGTCAAGTTTAAAGACAAGAGAGTTGAGACACTGTTCGAGATATCTATAGAGTCATCAAGCATTTCACTTCTGTCGTGGTTTGGTAACTACATCTTTTGCGCATTAATACTAAATCTGTATTGAACAAAGCACGAACTTGGTCGTGTGTGTCACAAGCGATGATATGGACGAAGGAAACTATAACATTACTGTATATTGTGTATGCTTTTGGATTGTGCATTGGTGTAAATTCACTGTTCCGTAAAACAGGTATTAATTAAATAATTTTCACAGAGAATTCGGATTTTTGTCTTAGAAGAGATTGAAATCGTTGGAGAAGATTCAAGAAAATATTATATAAATTGAAATTTCACATTTTCATGCTAAAACCAAGGTTTTCAGATATACAGGGTGTATCAAAATAAACGCAATTCATTTTTTGTGCTTAATAACTTTCGAAATACTATTTCTAGTAAAAGGCTTTTAGGCTTACTTCAAAGCCTGTTCTTTTCTCTTTCAAACAAACTATTATCCTTGTCTCCAATGCTAGTGATAATTGCACAGGAAAAGATTTAGTAAAACCTATCATTTTTAGTTGCTGTTTAATTATGCAAGTTTACTATGTTATTGTTTAGTCGGTTTAAATGTT